CAGCCAAGAACTGAAAAGACTAGAGGGAAAATTAGTTTTTCTCTCCTTCGACTGTATGTGAATGTCCACACCAACTTTATTCATGATAGCCAAAACCCAGAAAAAACCCAGACGCCCTTCAAGGAGTGAGTGATGAACCATCTATACAATGATTCAGCAATAAACGGGAATCAACTACTGATACCTGGAAGAATCTGCATGAATTTGCAGTGAATTTTGGAGTGAAAAAAAAATTCCCAGAGGCTATATGCTACATGCTTCCATTTATAGAACATGCTTGAAACGGTAAAACTATAGAAACGGGGAATAGACTAGTGGTTGCCAGTGGTTAAGGAGGGAACGTGGGTAGGAAGGAAGTGGATGTGGTTCTAAAAGGGCAATCTGAGGAATCCTTGGGCCGTTGAAATGTTCTGGATCTTGACTGTTTGAATGTCAACATGCTGCGTGTGATACTGTTTTGCAAGATGTTACCATTGGGAAAAACGGTAAAGGGCACCTGGGAACACTCTGTATTATTTCTTACAACTGTATATGAATCCACATTGATCTCAAAAATAAAAAAAAAGTAATTAAAAAAACAAGTATTTAACACTTTCAGATCTCAAAACATTTTTTATACCGTTTCACTTGCTCTCAGCCTTTGTTAAGTGTTTTTTCTTCTGCTCACCTGCTTGCTGTTGCCAAGTGAGCTCTCTTCCTCCAGGATATCATCTGGTTGCTTCCTGGGTAAAACCTTCACGATAACCAGAATCTGATGTGCGGCAATTTTCACAACCGCGTCCACGTCCGGTCCCACCTTTACTCTTGATAACCTCCTATGAACTCCTCCCCCCATCCGTCTGCACTCGACGGGGCTGACGTGGAACCTGACCGCTCTGTCTTCATTCACAACCAACCTGTGAGTCCTCCTTCCCTCCGCTCAAAGTCGCTACGCTCTGCAGTGTTAGGTCATGTTGCTGATGGCATTTTTCACATCTGGGTACCAGGAATAAGCAACCAACAAACAGAACACGAGTACTCGTTTGCTGTCCCGAAATGATCATTTCAGAGACAGGTTTCTTTGACTTACTGCTCAAGATGCCTTCACCCGACTTTTGTGCGAGCTTTGGGTGGACGCTGGGAGATTGCGTGGCACTTCCAACTTCTGTTAGGAATGACTTAAGGTCTCCCTGTCCCCGTGGCTTCAGAGAGATTCGTGCACAGGAGAGAATCCTAATGCGAGTCGCCAATTTATATAAATCATACCAGATTTGTTTACTTTTCTTATTTTTCTCATGTTCCTTAGAGGTCAGTGCTCACATTTGTGGGAATTTAGGCTAAGCCATGTGAAAAACCCTGTGAAGACATACTAGAAATCTTGCCTAAAACGAATTTGCATATGTGTTCCATTTCCTTCCTTGAGGTTGAAAGAAGAAATTGGCCATTCATTGTCCCATTTGCAAAAACTGGTTGAACAGCACCTTATTGTAGGTACAGTGGGTGCTCTGATGGTGGTAAAAGGAAGCAAGAAAAGTCAAGGAGATGAGGTAGAAATAGAACGGTAACGCAGCTGACGGCACAGAGCCTGAAGCAGGGCTCGAACCCACAGGCCACGAGATCATGACTTGAGCCAAAATCAAGAGTCGGATGCTTAACCGACTGGGCCACCCAGGCGCCCCTCGACTTGTTCTGATGCCCGCATTCAGACTCCACTGGCCTCCGCAATTTATTAGTGGTTACAGGATGAAAATCCTGCACTCCACAGTTTCCAAGAGCAAACCGAAGGTACCTTCTTGAGGCCACACTGGGAGTGATTTTTCATACCGACTTTTACATAGACCAACCCTTCACATTAGCATTTCTCTACAGAAGACCCCACGGTTATTTCCTGACCTCAAAATCCTTCTTTCCCAGTTGACTTCAAGGTTCACATTTTCCTCCATTGCTTGACTTCTAAACTTGAGCATTCCATAGTATACTCTGTCAAGCTAATCTTCAACATTGCTGGTGACAATACTCTCCAAAATTACAGAAAGGGAGAAGGGTTCTAACACAGGATATTATTCTCTTTAACCAGATGTGCTATGAACCCAAAATACGGAAGTTTTCTGTGATGCACAGTTTAAGAGCTTTCACTGGGCAACGCTGCTAATCTGTCCTGATCATTTGCATAGAAAATACATCAGCGTCAGACCTGAAGAACAAGAGAAGATCCTTCTTAAGGTAAAACAAAGATACTGCCTATGTGGGAAAGACCTTGCCTACACTTAGACAACTAACCATATACCACGGGTGTTATTAGATTTGAAGCTCTGGGAGGTGGGGGGGAGGGACCATGTGTGTCTTTGGGCCATGTCTATGGGCTGCCATTGTGAAGACTAGACTGGATCTTGGCAGGATATCCACAAACATTTGTGAAATCAGTGAACGATATTATAGGTAACTTTCTGAAATGTATCCTAAACTCCACATGACGCAGGCCCTCCCAGGCACCCAGAAATCTCACCCAGAAGTCTAAGTAAAGCCTGGCAACGCACCTGCAAGTGGTCAGCCACTTCTCTTCTCGAAGTTTCCATGGCAACATGTATATATTATTTCTAATTTTTCCCAACTTCAGTATAAGGACAATCATGGCTGTCTCTTAATATCCATTGAATAAATGATGCGTGATGGAAAGTTCACTCGAAACAACACGCAATCATGTGGCACAAAGCAGGCCCTCAAATGATTCCTTTCTTTACTGAGAGTGGCCAGGCTGTTGCCATATATATTTTAAATGAAGTCGTTTCAAGGACGACAAAGCCATTTTGGCACAGAAATCTAGGCATGTTTGGTCAGGCTATGCAAAGTTGCCACAGTGTCTCCCTCTTAAACCTGCTAATTAGAGCAAGCCCGTAGTGTCTCCTCCTCAGCCTGCTTATTAAACAGGCCCATAAACTGCAGAACATCAGGTTTTCTGAGCCCGTCAGGGAGTCAACGATACAAAAGAACCTGAGGAGACGAAACTCCAGAAAGAGGCCTTTGCAGGGTAAAAAAGGCCTCTTATCCCTGACAGATGGGCAGAGGCGCAAAAGAAAACTGTGAACACCCGACCAGGAGAGACTGGGAGAAAATCTAAGGGATTTTTAAAGTTTGTTGGTGGGCTTGCTTGACCCAGAGAATTCCACGTAGCCAAAACCACTGCCAACTGTCTCTGTGGGAGAGCAAGCCAAAAAGGGGCCGAGGGAAAAGGCTAGAAAGTGGAGAGAAATAGCCACGGAGGCCCCCCCCCCGCTTGGGGCAAAGTCTCTAAAGTCAGAGGGCAGGGCAGGAAAGCTAAGGGCAACCGATCCAAGGCACTTTGTATTAAACAGCCAAGAGCCACGGCTGAGAGCTGAGAGAAATCTCTCCAAGGCTCTCTGGAAGGAGAGAGATCTCCCAGGCACCTCTCAGGGTTTGGAAAGCCAGGGGTGCGGTCGTAAAGCACAAAGAGAAGAGAAGGGACCCCGGAGAGCAAAAAATCCTGGTTTTTCAATTCAACGTCCACTGATTCTTTACTACAGGACGAAGCAAATGAAGACAACTTACCAGTTCATGTGGAGGATGCGGATTCAAAGTTAGAGATGCGCCAAAGATAAGGAGCATGCTCTCACAGCTCTTATTTTTAAAGTAAAACCAAGATGTATACATTGCATGATGGAAAGTAGTTGATCCGCTTTGTTGAAAGCTACAGGTCTCCTTTCTCAAATAGAAAAAAAAGAAAGTGGCTTTTGAGTCTTACTCGGATACATGTGTGTATAAAGTGGGTCAATGAACGTGAGAAGCAACAGAGAGGAGGAAGTTAGAAGAGAAATGGGAGGGTTGTAGGGTCCAACAGAGAAAGGAGGACACGCAGAGGGTGGATCTGCGGCTGCGCGGCTCCCTGACACCTGCCGGCAGGTGGATCCGGCCGCGCGGCCAGGCGCGCGCTCCGGGGACAAAGGTTTCCCGCCCCCCTTCTCGGAGTTGATCCACCCGGGCCTGAGCTCCTCTGCTCTCTCAGGCCCAGCTAGCGGCCCAAACTACGAACTCGCCCTGGTCTCGACTTCTTTTGTCATGGATTTGGGGTGTCTGAGTTCTCTGGGGACGGAGAAGGGTCGGAGGCTCTCGAGAGGGGGCGGTGCCTTCCCGCCGACGCCAGCCCAGCACTCGGGCGCCACCGCGCGTCCCGCGGGCCGCCCTGCAGCTCCGGGACACCGTTTCAGACTCTGGGCCGCGCGCCGCGGGGTGCGGGGTCCCGGGCCCCCAGGGTCTGGGCGGAGCCGACCTGCTCCAACCGTTCCCGGGAGCCGGGAGTGTGCGCTGCGCGGCGGCGGCTCCGCGGTCGGCCCCTCCCGGGCTGGGTAGCAGAGAGGAAGCCCCGCTCGGCGCCGTCTATGTGCTTCTGCAGTTTGGGAAGGACCGGGTTTTCCCGGGAAGGAGCCCGGCTCAGCTGTGTCGACCCTGGGACGTCTCCTTTCCCTTTCCTTCTAGAAGAAACAGCGTGTCCGAGCCTTCCGTAGGGAAAGGCGCTCGTCACCCTTGGTTCGTGGTTACTTTAAAGTACGTAAGTAAAGCGAGCGCGCCAGGGCGGGCCGGTTAGCTCAGTTGGTTAGAGCGTGGTGCTAATAACGCCAAGGTCGCGGGTTCGATCCCCGTACGGGCCAAGCTGTGCGTTGTTTTTCCTTTTGTGGTTACCTCGTCACGTGGAATCTGCAGCCCCACAGCCGGTTACGGAGAGTCCTACGCCGCCACTGCCGAGCGGTGCTTCTGGAAGCCTTGTTTTTGTGAAAGAAGCAATGGCGCCCGAGAGTCCGGCTGGAAGGGCTTGTAAAGGAACGGAGGGAGGGAACGCGGGGCGGTAGGGACGGTCACAGGGCCTGCGCCCCTCGGGAGAGCCTGCCCTGCGGCAGTCCGGGCTTCCGGAGGCGCTCGCCGCCGCGGCTGCTCCCTCCGTCCGGAGTGGGGGCCGCCCCGGACCCCCGGAAAGAGCGGGAGCTCGGGTCAAGGCCGCGCACGCTCGGCGGGCGCGCGGGAAGCCTCGGGCCGCCTCGGGTCCTAGCGCCCGCCCGGTCCTTTTCCGGAGGTCCTGCCCCGGGTCCTAGCGCCCGCCGATCTTTCCCGGAGTTCTTTCCACCTGCTTCTCCAGGCCGCTGGCTCTGCCCCGCTGGCCGCCCACGTGCTCTGCGCTTCCTCCTGTGGCCGAGTTCCGGGCAGCCACGAAAGTGACATGAGCCATACTGATTAAATAGTAACGTAAGCAGTGCCTGGAGCGTGGGGCCGGGGACGTTAGGAGATGCTCAGTGAATCCCAGAAAGCGGGGCTTCGTCTGTGTGGTCGGTGCTGCATCCTCTAGGTCAAGAACAGTGCCGGGCTCAAAGCTAAAGGTTGAAAAACCCATTTTAAAAAAACTAACAAGGACTATTCAGTACTTCATTGTATGTGAAATACCGCACCCACAGATGTGAAGTACGAGGACTGGACAGGCCGATGCTGACCTGGGTGGACCTGTGCTCGCCCACAGCCTTCGAGGAGACTCAGCCCCGCGCCCACAGCACGGAGCCCGGCCCTTCTACCCCTTCCTGCGAGCCTGATGCGCCTCCCGGTTTCCGTCTGGCTCGGATAAGGTAATACCTTCTCGTATCAGTAACTACACGGGCTGCTTCTCGGGTCACTCTGCCACCTGTCACCACTGTCTCCCCTGTGGAAGGAAGTGCTACCCTCACTTTCTTGTATATTCTCCTCTATGCGCGCCGCTGTAAATATGAACATGCATTTCTCTCAGTGGGGCATAAAGTGTTACATTGTGCGCACTGTTTCGCATCCTGCTTTTTCCTACTCTCTGTGTCTTGCAGCAGCTACACAGAGCCGGCACACGGCACAGCCACTGTTATACGCTATTAGGACACAGCCTATTTTCAGTCGAGTTGGTCCAGCTGGCCAGAAGCTGAATGAGAACTTTTCAGTCCATTTCCCCCCTGAGCCGGGAGGTACACAAGCAGGGCTGGAGAGAGGACGGGAAGAGGACACCTTTCTTCCATTTTCTGTGACAATGTGGATAAAACACTTTCTGTGCGAAACCGTGGGATAGAGCTCCAAAGCACACCGTTGACCGAAGGAAATTTTGTGTAGATGTGTTCAAAGGTAATTTTTTCAGGAAAAGGTAAAACGATGAGTCAGATAGATATACAAATGAGCATGTTGCTAGACAATAGGACATTTTCTTTTTTTTTAAATTTTTTTCCACGTTTTTATTTATTTTTGGGACAGAGAGAGACAGAGCATGAGAGAGAGGGAGACACAGAATCGGAAACAGGCTCCACGCTCTGAGCCATCAGCCCAGAGCCTGACGCGGGGCTCGAACTCACGGACCGCGAGATCGTGACCTGGCTGAAGTCGGACGCTTAACCGACTGCGCCACCCAGGCGCCCCTGACAATAGGATATTTTCAACTGTTTCAGTTCACAAAAGTGAAGTCTACTAACCTGTTACAACTCCTAGCATAGATCCTTAAGAGGAAAGAGAAAGGGCTTCTTTGTAGATCTAGAAGGTAGAATCGTATAGCAGCTTGCACACTATTCCAAACAAAGACTGAGTCATCCCTCAGTCAGTCCTATGTAATTCTTGTTCCACCAGATCTTGAGGTAACAGGGTGTCAGGGTAAATGACAACGTTTTTCTCTGTTTCTATAGGGAAAAGTGCCCTTGTCTCCCCTCCCTGTGCTATGCGGGGTCTCCGTGGACACCTAGTCAATCTGAGTCTTTACTGGAATCTTCAGAATAGAGATAGATATCTCTATGGATTAAGTTCAGTCTTCAGTGTTTACAGTGTAGAGTATCTCTAAGGCTGTGGGCCAGATAGCCTCTAGGTAGGTAAAAATGTGCCTCCAGGATCAGCTCAGGGGTCCGTCGTGAGATTTTGGGGAGACCGTCATAGGGTGCAGCCACTGGCTTCTCAAGGAGATACAGAGAAGTTCCTAGTCTTTCTTCAGCTTTACTATAAACAAGGAGTGAGATTCGGACATGATTTTGTTGTCACTTTGGTGCTGCCATGTACATAACGCGAACACTTAGTAAAGTGTGTTCTCTCTCTTCTCTGATCAGGAAGCATCTTTCTGCTGGCCGAGTCCCTTCATCGCCCGAGCACAGTTTCCAGAACTCAGGGGGCTTCTGGAGCAGAGTTCTGGAACTCCAGGCTCGGTAGGATGGTTATGGGCGCAACGTTGTTGAAGCCACGCCATCCGGAGTCTATAACCAAGCATATCTGGTGGCGTGGTCTTTTCCTGTGAGGCTTTGAAGACTTGTGCTTTGTTGAAGATAAAGCTGGCCTGTGGCTGATTGCAGATGCTTTCAGGGAAGTGAAGTAAAACAGAATGACTATGTATAGATGTCAGAAGATTTAAAGGGGCCGTAATTAATTTATTACTTAACGATTTTCAAAAGCAAGAGATCTGGTGAGAATTCATAACGAGGAGACTGCCACTAAGGAGTTTTGGTTGTTTCTGTGATACAAAAACGAGATGAGAAAGCCAATCCAAAATAAGTTTTAGACAAAATAGCTACAGACATAGTGATCTACCATATTTTCAAAGGAGGTAGAAAACACTGCATGGGACTTATAGCAGTGGATGAACATAATTCCCACAGAGAAAAAGTCTTGACACAGACATATAATAATCCTGAGACCTAATGTGCTGCAAATATACAAATCACATAGTAAGAATAATATATCAACAATATGAGACAGTTGTGGTAAGTCTGGAGTAAGTTCTACATATTTATACATTAATTAGACTCCCTAGGCAAGTGATGTAAATCCCATTTGAAATTCAGAAGCCCAGAAGACGCTAGATTCAAGTTAAACAAGTAAAGTTGCGACCAAGTAAACGTTTAAAAAAATAGCTACAATCATGACTGATGACACTTCACTACTGTTGTCTAATATCAGAGAAAACAGCACCAGGACTTTCTATGTTGGTGGAAACATGTCATGGACAGTAGGAGCAACGATAAGTCTCCAGGAATTTCCCATTCGGTGTACAATTTCTGAAATATTTATATTAACGTTTCAGCCATGCAAATCTGACTTAGGGAAGCCTAGGCCTTCCTCCTCCTCCTCCTCCTCCTCCTCCTCCTCCTCCTTTTCCTCCTCCCCCTCCCCCTCCTTCTGATATCCCTTCTGATTTTCACCTCTTCCTGTGCAACTCATCACTAATAGCCTATCAAATAGCCCTGGTTCTCTTCACTATCTGCCTTTTTGCAAGGGGACAGAACGCATCGTTAGGATTTTCCAGGCACCTCCGGGGAAGTCTCAACCACAGGTGTAGGTGGAAACAGTACCTTGAAAGTTTTAGTTGACATTTACGATTCGACTGGGGGAAGGCAAAGGTTAAAACCGATCAGAACATCTGAACACTTAGGAGAGGAAACAAACCATGATTGCTGGAGAACTTACGTGGCTATTGGTTTCAAAGTTACAATAAAACAGTTAAAACTAAGCACAGAAGGTAACGTGACTGTAAACGACATGATTCCTATGTGAGAAACCGTTGTTTTCTTCAGGAGAGACGACACAATCAGTGTAAACTATAAAGCTTATTCTGCTAAAAAACAGAATCTTGGCTGTCGGAGAAGGTTACACCGGGGAAACAGAAAGAACCGGTCATATTATGGGTGAGGGCACCGAGCAGTTAACCAAAGGAACAAACACATCAAAGTGAAGCAAACCTTCCCAGATTTTGGTATATTCCGTGGCTCTTCAAACTCAGGTATTCTACATGGGGATAAATAAAATTAACCTGCCAGTTTTGCCCATCATTATGTTCTTCCACACCCTGGGACAGTCTGACACTGTCCTGGCTTCAGGAGTCCACGAGGTTGGAACCGATTTCACACCATTGCTGAGATGTTACCAACGTGGATTGTGTCCGACTGGGCGATCTCCAGATGCGCTAAGAAGTAACGATTTTTTAAACTGCGTGTTGGGATTGTTTGCAACGGAACAAGCACTTCCAGTCAAGTTCGTATTTTAGATACTTACACCTCCAAGACGTAGTTTATTCAATTGTTTACAGCGTTTTTCAACTGCAGCTTTTCCAGCGTAAAGGGCCCGTGAAATCCCAGGCTTCTGACCTCCCTCCCAGGGGAACCGACTGGAACGCCGAAGAACGAAACAAGACACAGGAGGCTCTCGCGATCTAATTGATCCTCAGCGTGAGAAGTGTCCTGCCCGTTCCAGAATGTACATGTTAGGTAAACGAACAAACAGATCCTTAAAAGCCATATTTCAGGATTTGATTCACAAATCTGTTTAAAAACCAAGGCCGCTGCTGGTAAACGGTCAGATATTCTTATTTCCAAATATTTTTTCCTTTCGTTTGAGGCCTTTTTGTTTGTTTATTTTGAGCTGACTGTCTTGCTTTCTCGGATCTGTTCTAATTGTTATCTCTCTAAGATTTCCTGTCCTCTATAAAAAAAAATCTTCACTGAATCTGTTATCTTGCAAACCTTGAAACGTTGGCATCCTGTGTTCTGTGTCGTCTTCTGTCATTCCTCCTGACTTCCTGCCTCCTCCTGTCCTAAATGTGGCAAGGGAGAGAGGAGAGACGATTCCATTTCCTTACCCATCAACCAGGCCGCGAGTGGGGTCTGCGGATGAGCTAATACTGGAGGAGGCCTCCCTGTAATTGTCGTTGACTTTGGAGCATCGGACGGTGTCACGTGGGCACAGTTTGGTCTTCGGTTTGTGAGTTTGACTTCCTACGTGCGACACGGATTGTTCGGGGCCACTTCCTGACATACCTGTGGCATATCTGTCCCTCCGCGCCCAAGTTTCTGGTAGGGAGCAGGCAGGAGTGACACTAATATGTGATGTCTGGGTTCCCAAGGTGTTTTCAGCCTTCACTGGATCGGGTTCACAAGCAGCAACCCCGCAGAATTAGAGGTACTCGAGGTTTGTGACTGAGGTGGGAAAGATAGTGCCCCGCTGCCTCTCTCAGGGCTTCGCCGAGACCCCGGTAACGAGCGAGTAAGAAGGAAAAACCGACCGAAGTTTGTCAACCCGTTTGCCCCGGGTACAGGTGGGGACGCCCGGGGAGAACAAGTAACTGTCGCCGTGGCTTAGAAGTCCAGCTTACGTGGCATCTTCAACAGAGAACAGTGGATTTGTGGTGAAGTCATGGAACAAAGGAACGCGTGTCAGGCCAAGGGCAGAGAGACAGGCCAGTCAGTAAAGTTCGTTATTTGATTTCCAGGCTGTTGGGGTCTAAGGTTGTCTGGGGGTGAACCTCTGTCTTTCCCCGCAGAGAGGGCACAAGGGCCTCGTGGCAAACTTCTGTCCTAATTCCTCTCCCTCGCTTTCAGCTCACAATAATCCTTGTGCCCAAGTGGCATATTTGGGGGTGGCCTAGTCCTCCACCTTCGCTGTCTTGTTTGTTCACATTCCTTTGGAAGTTGGGAGGGGGGAACTGCTATGAATAAACGATGAACTCAGGGTTGCTGAGGTGTGAACGGGACGCCGCGCGCCGGGCTGGGCCGCTTGCGCTAGGTGAAGAGACAGTGACTCTCAGGGGACCCCAGTCAGAACCTTCGAGATCTCTACATAAAACGGAAAAGCCCAGTGCGCAGGCCAGGGCTCTGTAGATTCAGGAAGGCGCCAGTCTGTTTGTGGTTTATTTCCTCCCCGAGCTCCAGTCTCTCCCCTTTGCCCAGAACGTGCATCCGATGCACAAAGGCGGCGGTTCCCGGGCCCGCACAAAACCAAAGTGGCGAGGGTCCAAGTCTGGCCGCTGTTCTCTTACTTGATCTCAAAAAATAAAATCGGAGTCTGACTCAAGCCAGACACCCTGGCTTATTCCCTGCCTGACACTCCCTCAGCTGAAGATGTCCCAGGTTCAGAGATCTGGGACCGAACCTCCAAGCCACAGTGTGGCGCATTGCTTTCTACCTCTACTGCAAGGCACCTGTCACTCAGTTCTTAACCCAGTCTTACCTGCCATCAGCAAACCCGTCACTTTCTATCAACTGCAGAAACCTTCCTCATTTTCCCCTCACCCCAGGCCCTCATAATGGGACGGCAGTGGCCTGGCAAGAGACTCTCCTCGCCTGGAATAACAATTCAGCGCAGGCTTACCCGCCACACAGATTCTTTAATGCCTCTCCGACATATTTAGTGGCACCTTCCACTATGGAAAAACAGAAAACTAAACAAAGAAGGCCCCGCTGGGATTCGAACCCAGGATCTCCTGTTTACTAGACAGGCGCTTTGACCAGCTAAGCCACAGAGCCCCTTTTTGAGTTTATGTTCAGTTATATCATATTTATACCGTTTTCTGTGAGTTGTAGCAACTTGTCAGAAACTCACTTCATTTTGTGACCAAGAGACGATATCTGTGTTTCTGAGCTTGTACTTAAACGGAAACCTCCAACATTTAAAGAAGATGCATTCTTCAATGCAAGAAAGGTTTAAAATTTTGCAAATTAAAAATGGGTTAAATTCCTATTTCATGGCGACTCTCGCCATCTAGAGGACGCGTTGGTTATTGCAACACATTTTAATTTTGTTTCTTCTTTAAATCCTTTGTCCGCAATCGGGAGTCACTAGCTGATCAAGCCCTTTTCTAGGTATGGGCGATAGAACAGTGAACAAAAAATAGACAAAACTTTCTTTTCTGACAGAATTTGTGTTCTAGAGGGAGGCGAAGAAAACACGTTCCAACGATTTGCCCCAACCCCAACCCCCCCCCACCCGCCAGAGAGATAAGGGGGGATGTGAGAACGAATCCGACTACTGCTGGGTTACAAACCCACGGGGCGACCTTCTGAGCTGATTTCCTGCACTGGAGCAAGACTGTCACGCGTCCCTCTGTTATATCTAACTTGGCTCAGGACAGCAAGCAGAGATGAGCACACACCGAGGTAGATTTGGGGCTGCCCTGCTTCCAGCGTGCCCAGACCAGCCACTGTCAGGCCCTTTCTTTCCAAGACAGTCTGGACCCCAACAGATCTGTTGCTCGGTGGTGAGTTCCGCAGGAGGACACTTTACTCCTGGCACAGTCTCGTTCCGTTCGCGGATTGACCCGCTGGGTTAAAACCGCCTTGGTCTCTGTCAAGACAGAAGGACTGAGAAGAGGGTACGGAGGAGGAGAAATCGGGCAGAGTGTGACGGATAACCCCCACGGGATGCTGTGGGATCTGGGCTTGGCGCAGGGCGGGGGTCTTAGCAGAGTCACACGACCTGTCCTCTGACAGGTTCTGCACCAGGTGGACGAAAGCAGAAGGGGGGGACTGTGGCACCTGGGGCCCGAGTGCGGCTCAGCGTGGAGAGAGCAGGTGGGGCCGTCATCCTGAGACGTTTAGATGCTGCTTTGTGCGTTCTGAGCGACAAGGGCACGTGCGTTCCTGGGCAGCCACAAAGGGCAAGACGCTGCAGGGGTGACAGATCACTTCGGAGACCTCCTGGGGACAGGCAGATCTCTGTACACCTGCTTTCCTCTGGACACCAGCCCCGCCCCCCGGCTCTCTTCCCAGCCAGCCTAGCCTGTACCTAACCCGGCTGGCCTTTTCTTGTGTCGCTTGAGGATTATGCTTTCCCTTCGTCCCCAGGTCCTGCTGCCATTCCTCTCCCGGTACCAGTTCGTTTGTTTGTGGTACGGCCATTTTGAGGTGTATTTTTTGCAAAGTTGCAATTCCGTGCACATATGTTACACACTTACATAAATGGCATATTATCTAGTTTTATGCCTTTCAAAAAGATTGTGACTAGGTAAGCCAATTTGACAACAACTTATGTTTAAAAAAACATACTGACTTCAAGATCCATCAGAGTTGTCCTGTGCTCCGAAGTCGTTGCTTCTAATGCCGTATAAATTCCCATAGTGGGCGCTCCCACTGTTTCCTCTCTTCCGTCCCAGTGATGGACTCACCCAGGTTGCCTCCACTGCCCCCCCCCCCGGGCCCCCCCCCCAGTTCCAAATAACACCGCCTTTTCATCCACCCCCTTTACATACGTGGTGGAGAGTTTCACTGGGATGTGCGTGTAGGAGCAGTATGGCTAAGTCATCCCAGCGTGCCCTCCAGTCCACACTCCACCGCTCTGCACGCCCCTTTATCCTGGTCTCGACGCTCAGCACGAGTCAGCTTTCTACTTTGTAATCTAATATGTGTAGAGCGATGCGTCTCATCACTGTCGCCTCAGAGTTTGCCTTTATGTTTTCTAAAGATTTTGAGCATTTGTTTATATGTTCGTTGGCCATTGGCATGGACTCTTATAATCCGCCTGTGTTCTTACTGAGGCTGATGGATCTTTCATGTTGATTCGCAGGGGCTGTGTGGTGTATCGTGGTTATTAGACCGCTGTGAATCTGGGATCTGGAAAGATCGTCCCCCGTTATGTTACCCACTGGCCTGTTGATGGAGGAACCTAATGGCGGATCCTTACTTTTGTTAAGGGTTTGTCTTCCCCCCCCCCCCCCCCGCCCCATGGTTTGCCCTTTTGAGGTTAGGCTTAAAGGGCCTTTCTCTGTTACTAAGTTAAAAACTGTTCTCTCTCAACAAAAAATGTGCCGATTTTCTTTTTCACGTTTGAGACGTCGATCCATCTACTTTTCTAGATAAGTGTGTTGGTTTTTTATGGCAATCTGTTGGAATTGTGTCTTCCAGTTCTCAAGAGTTTTTTTGGTTTGGTAAGGGTGCCCAGCAGGTGAACTTGCTCACTTAGCGTCCTACGTTTCCTTTCTCTTAGCTGCTTCACGTTTTTTACGCAATTACATATTTCATAAAATTACGGGTTTTTCCTGTTAGAACATATGTCTGCAAGGTTGGGGAGAATCCGATTATTCCCTAACACACAGTATAAGTCATAGCATGGAAAGAATCTATTTTAGTTTATTTTTATTATTTTTTAGAAGTTTATTTATTTATTTTGAGAGAGGGGGGGGGGGGCAGAGAGAGAGAATCCCAAGCAGGCCCTGTGCTGTCAGCACATAGCCCGATGCAGGGCTCGATCCCACATACCGTGAGATCATGGACCTGAGCCAAAATCAAGAGTGAGACGCTTAACCGACTGAGCCACCCAGGCGCCCCTGTAAAGATTATATCTTAATAAAACACTGTTTGAATGATATTTTATGAATTTCCCAGCAGACAACCTTGCAAAGATTTGGTTTTTGTTTGTATTCTTGTAAGCCTGGGCCTAAGTTGCGTAGACCTCTGACGTCAATCGCAGGCTCCCTAAACTGAAAACAAGTATTTGGGTTCCTGGAAGAAAAAGATAGGAGGATCCCAGTTCTAAGTTGCTGTGACAGATGAGTGGGTAGGGTTCTGAACTTAAAGTCTGCGGGGGTCCAATCCTTGCGTGTGGCGCATAATCTTGTCTTCTAATTGGTCCTTTTCAACACGGACTGGAAACCCCTCTTACTGGTTCCGGAAAACCTATGCATTTCTGTCTTTGTTCTCAGGCTCTTTGCTTATTTTTCGCTCTCCTGTAATCCTGCACCTCAGGACAAGAGCTGGGGGCAAAAATCCTGCTAGGCAGCGTTTAATGGGGGCACGACTGGATCTTTGCATCGAGGTCTTCGCCCACCACGGATTCGGCATAACCGCCTCAAGTCCATCAGCGTCTAAGTCTGCTGTAATTTGATTCTAAGCAGAAATGAAAACTGAGAAGAGCCTGGACAACACCAAGGAACACCCGGGATTACATGGCCCGCACACAGCGTCCTCGGCCTCGCGGCCCTCACCGGTGACTTGACTTTCAAAAGGCTCCCGGCCCTTCACCGAGGCTCTGGAGAGTGGGGCCTGGAGTTTGCCCGAGATGGTCACAGCAGCATTGTGTCAGAGGAAGAGAGAGAGAGAGAGAGAGAGAGAGAGAGAGAAAGATTGTGTAAGGGAGGTAAAATCTCTCTTCTAAGCTTTTAGGGTTTCTGGCCGGGCCTACAGATTAAACTGATATAAAACAGGTTGATAGAAACACACATTTCATGAAGCAATTCTGACATGGGGGCGGGGGGTGCTCACACAAAGTCTCAAAGCAGTTAGAGCCCCGTGCTCACCGGCTAGGTTGCACGCACGTTGGGAAAGCCGGGCAAGAGAAGGGGTCTGGGCCTAGGGCAGTGAGCCGGGGCCAAGTGAGTAGCAGGTAAGGGTTGGTTTAACCGGGTTCGGTGCAGATTTCTTCTGGCCTGGTCTCGGTGATCAGAAGGGTCCTTCCCCCTGGGACAGGGAGGGCGCCTCTCACCTGGCTCCTTTACCTCCTGCTCTCAGGAGGAAAAAGACAAGCGAGAGAGTTCTTCCTTCACCTCCTGTTTTTCCAGCGCCTTTAACTCAGAATAATCAATATGCCAGACATGCGTGCTTGGGGGGGGTCGCGGCTCGAAACCAGGCGCGTCTCGAACCAGCGGAGGAACCCGGAGTAGCCCAGGCGCGCCCCGAGGGGGCGCCAGTCGAGAACGCTGCCGCCCCTAGTGTCTTCTCGCGTGTTCCCACGGGACTTGGCTCGAGGATGTTTCAAGCTGGGGCGCGAGCGGGACGCGCCGGGGGCGCAGTCCGGGGCCGCGACTCCCTCGGCGCGGACGGGCTCGTTCTCTTTCCGGGGCGGTGGGGAGACTAGAAACGGTTTTCCTTCGACGTGTTTGCTCGGAAACTTTTGTATGGAGAGACCTGCAGGCCTTTGCCGGCTTGCGGTTCCATAGTGTAGTGGTTATCACGTCTGCTTTACACGCAGAAGGTCCTGGGTTCGATCCCCAGTGGAACCAGCTCCAGCGGCGCTTCTTTTCCGCGCCCGGTCGGACGCAAACCGAGCTGGCTTGCCCTTCAACTTCAATTTTAGCGGCTTTTTTTTTTTTTTTTTTTTTTTTTAAACTTTAGGCTTTGACAGCGCCGATGGAAAACCAGAACCGCGGACCGCTTGGGAGATTCACCTTCATACATCGCTCAGCTGGAGACGGGTGCAGCAGCGTCAGGGGGTCCCAGAAAAAGAGTCTCGTTTCCTGCCACGTCCAGCCGCCGTCAGAGGCAGAAAGGAACCGGCGTCCGTGAAGCCCGAGTTTTCTCCCCAAGACACCGAGCGCCCGATGTGCAGGGATTCCTAAAACCGCAAACCTGAGCGAGGGATTCAGGTCAGCAGTGCGCAGCCTGGGCCTCCGGGCCGGGGCGACCCGCCTCCCGGCCGCGAGCGTCGGACGCGGTGGGGGGGGGGGGGGGGGCGGTTCTGCGCTGCAAACAAGGGACACCGACCTCCCGGGGCCTCCCGGGCCGGCTCCAGTCCTCCTCCACCACAGACACCCGGAGCTGCCAGTCCCCTTGCGAGTGCTCTGCTCTTGACGAGGCACGGAGAAGCCAGCGTTGTTACATATTTGAAGACTATGTTACAGAAAGGGAATAAAAGACGGGGGGAAAGAGCCGTGAGGATCAAAGCTACGATAGAACCATGCGGAGAACAAACGGATATGCCCAGAGAGGTGGGAGACCGCACTGAATGCCGAAACAGGCCTGTCGACACGGGGAAAGAGGCTTCTGTAAAAGAAAGAGGTATTAGCAGAAATGAAAAATCCACAAAGCGGATCATAAAGTGTGGTAGTATCCTGGAAGATCAAAAACATAGTGCTGAAGGAGAGAAAAAAAAAAAAATAAGTAGAGGGAAAGCCGAGGATGTGCAAAATTCAAGTAATATTACTTCTAGAAATAATAGGGAAAATGCAAGGAAGAGAACCCCCCCCCGAATCAGGTACATATCCCAGCCCTACGCAAAAAATTCTAGGTGGTCAGGGATCACTGAATATTCAGTAAAAAGGATAAAAATAATCTGATACTTAACTACTGAGGAAATAGAAAAGAGCCTAAAATATTCCAGAGAGGGGGGGGAAGAAAATACAAAGTAGATCCGTTGACAGACTCACTGACTTTTCAAGATGGAGGCCAGAAGCTAGAAGACAGCGAGGCAACGGCTTCCAGTCTTCAAGAAGACCAAAGCCACCGTAGATGCCACGTGAAACCCAAGTATCCGTCAAGTATGAGCGTAGGAGACGTTTTCAAAAGTGCTTTGCCCTGTGAAATTTACCTTTACTCCTGCCTTCCCCAGGATCTAGGTAAAAATGAAAATGCAAGTTGAGAAACAGGGAGACTGGGGATACAGAAAGTTCCAGATGCAAATGTGAGGCAAGAGGGGGGTGGGATTGCGGGGGTTCAGGAAGGTCTGGGGAGGAATTCTTCCCGGAGGTGCAAAGCTGAGAGAAACTGGGATGTGGAGAGACACCCTCGAAAGAGATTTCAATAACTTGTGCGTGAACTTGGGGTTGAAATAAGACCTATAGAAAGCCGTGCAAATAAAATTAAGGTCCCTCATTCCTTGTGGGAGGAGCAATCATGGTCTGTTAGGACGATTTCAAACTGGAAGGGAATATATAAGAATTGAAAAGGAATAAATAAGGACTCATTAGTTGCAGATAATATGATATTATCCATAGAGAAAAGAGAGGATCGAGGAACGTTTAAAGTCAATACCTGAGTTTAGCACGCTTGCTACTTACTGTGCGTAATTTTAATTCAGAAACATACAGAAAATACGGCCTAAAAAATTATACCCAAGAATGAATCTGACAAATTATGGATAATGTTTACACAGGAAGAGTCCTAAAATATTATGGAGAGATATCAAAAACTGCTTAAGTCACCACAGAGAAACACTGTATCAAGGGGAGAAAATGCTTTATAAGGGAAAAATACGAAGTCTCTTTAAAATTATATATATTAAATGAGAGTTCCGTCAGAACTCCAACAGATCCTAATACTTGGAAGAACCGGAGAGATTTAGCCAGCTAAATCATTTTTTAAAATGTTTACTTACCTATTTTTTTTTTTAATTTTTTTTTTCAACGTTTATTTGTTTTTGGGACAGAGAGAGACAGAGCATGAACGGGGGAGGGGCAGAGACAGAGGGAGACATAGAATCGGAAACAGGCTCCAGGCTCTGAGCCATCAGCCCAGAGCCCGACGCGGGGCTCGAACTCACGGACCGCGAGATCGTGACCTGGCTGAAGTCGGACGCTTACCCGACTGCGCCACCCAGGCGCCCCAATTTACTTACCTATTTTGAGACAGAGTGGGGAGGGGCAAAGAGAGAGGAAGCGTGAGAATCCCAAGCAGGCTCTGCACGGTCCGCGCAGAGCCGGACATGGGGCTCGATTTCACGAACTGGAAGATCTGAACCGAAGTCAAGAGCCGGCTGTTCAACCGCTCAACCGACCGAACCACCCAGGCACCCATGCCAGCTAAATCATGTTTAAAAAGAAGATAAAGAAAGTAGGACAGCTTCCTCTTGTAAATACTAGATGTACCGTAAAGGATAACAATATGCACGGCATTTTCGCAGAGATCTAGAAGTAAGCCAGTGGAACAGAATGGATGGCACAATATCCAGGCCAATAATGAAACCATCATATCCGACGTGGGCGGCAGGGCGGGTCCAGAGGGCATGTCCACTCTTCATTAAGTCTTCCTGACTCAATTACACGTGTTGGGGAAAAGTTCACGCTTCAAAATGTACGTCGAAGTTCATGATAGGCGGATCAAAGCCTGAAATACGAAAAGCAAAGCGTTTAGGCATTTTAGCTACGGCGGTGGAGGAGGATGGCTAACAATTCTGCCTCGGCCAAGGGTCTACCGAGAGCTGGGAGGCAGATCCCAAGCGAATCGACGTCTCTCTGTCCCTTGAGCCCGCTCTTACCTGTTCTGTTCAGCTTAGGGCCTGCTGCTGTCCCTCTCGCCTTCCAGCCTCTGTCCGGGGTGGTCTGTCCTGCCCCGGGCCTCACACTTAGAGGAAAGACTGGAGGCCGGGCCTTGGGAGGCCCGCGCGGGTGAGGTTCGGGTCAAGTGTGGGGCGGCCTCTGATGGGTCCGGCCGCGGGCCAGGAGCTCGTGCTTACTGCCCAGCTGGTCCCCAGGCGGGACCTGTATGCACGCAGCTCTCTTGCCCCGGGTTCTTTGTGAGGCCTGGCTATTCCCTTTTACGAGTCTAGCTGAAGCCTGCCTAGGGCCCTGGAGGAAAAGCCCTCCGCCTCTCCTCTTGAAAAGCTCTCCAATCTGAGCAGCCGTGTTAGCACGAAGGAGGCGCTGGTGCGGCCTACATAGAGTCTAGAGTCGGCCTGCTGCCCTCTTGGGAGAAATGGCCCCTGCCCCGGGCGCTCCCTCTGATTTCCGCTCACAGGACAACAGAGCTTCTTGGACGTAAATCTTTCCTTTTCCTGATTCCCTGACTTGTGGCCATGCTTCCTCTGATCTGCCTCCCCCGCTGACCTCGCCGCGTGCTTTCCCTGAACGTATATAACCTACTATGGCAAACGTCTTGGCCACGATCGGCTTTACCCGCGGCCTCGCCGAGATCTTGAAATAAACCTTAATCCTGAGGACGGACAAAGAGCTCTTCCTGCTCTTAGCTTCTCCCCATCAAGACGGCACGGCGCGGCAGTCAGGCCCCTTAAAAAGATGCTGACTTTGGCTCCAGTGTCCGCACCATCAGCACCGCGCGAAGCCCTTCCTCCGTGGAGGTCGCGACGCGCTTTCTTTATTTGCCAATAACGACAACGGCTCGTTGGATCGCTTTGGGGTTTGTACCTCACCGAGCCGGTGCCACCACGCCCATCATGCCCTTACATCTTCAGAACAGTTGTAGGAAGTGGTAATTCTCCTTCGCTTCCCTTGAGAGAGGAGGACGATGGGGCGCAGAGAAGTTTAAAAGCCGGACCGTGAGTGCCGTCGAGGAGGGCAGTTTCCTGTCTGGACGTGGCTGGCACGCTGTGTAGGAGGCTCCCAGACCGATATTCACGCCTACGTAAAAGGACTCCCTGGACGAGGCGGTTTTTATCACCCCCCGCCGCTCGGTTTAGACCGGATTTGCCACTGAGGTTCATTCAACGTTACACAATAGAGCCATGAGCAGAGCATCTAATATATCTAATATAAATCCAATATACATCTAATAGAAACACGCGCGTGGTACCAGGTAAACATACGGGACACGCCAAGCAAGCTCTGGGCCTTTTGAGCAAATCACAGAGTGTAGGTCTTCACCCCGCACTTGCCTGGTGCTACAAGAGAGTTCGGGGCCAGACCGAGGACACTAACCCTCTTGCTACTAAGAGGTGGCCTCTGGGCCACAGCCCATGACCTACTCCTCGGGCCACTAAAAGCCGGAGAACATGTGTTCTGGAGAACTTCCGGACCAAGCCGTTTGTCTCTGTTCTCAACCAGTCTCCTCGTTCACTGGTGGTGAAAGAATTGACAGGAGCTGGTCCTTCTGGGTCAATATGCACTTGACCCCTGTCCTCACCATGTAAAACACGCGCTTGATCCCTGTCCTTGCCCCTGTAAGACTGAGTGGAAGTAACACACGTAACAGAGAAAACTGAGTAGATGTGGTACGGGTGACCCTGGGTGACTGGTATGACTGCGGTCGGGCCACTGGGGCTGCCCGTGAGGTGACCCCGGCAGTACAAGAAGCCTCAGTCACAACGACTCAGAAGCTTTGTGGGTGCGAGCGTCAGACCCTACGTCACCTAGACAGTTGGGGAAGGAACGGGGGCCACTGAAGCCTTAGGAAGGGAAAGCTTTTGGAAATCGGAGATCTTCATGCGGAAATCGCTAAACGCTGCTACAAAAATATGACAAAATAGACAGCAAATAGTATAGTTCAAAATCCACAAGGCCCAGGAGAGAGGAGATGCCATTTGTGGGTTGTCGAACTCCTGGGAGTTCTTGGGGGCTTGGGGGTCTCCTTCCAGACACCTCCACCTCAGCTCAGCTCTCCCTACACCCGCCTGACCTGTCCACCTGCCCCTTTCTAAATCATTCTGGAAACGGGAGAGGCTAGAGGTAGGGGTTATTCTTCTGAGCCGTATTCCCCCCCCCCTCCCCAATTTTCTCCAGATGATCAGAAGGTCACAGTTTTTCAGCCCTGGCCCAGCCACCATACTCAGCAGGCGTGATTCATAATCAGACCTTTGTCCCTAGGGAAGACTGCCACCATCAACCTGGGTCTGCGTTTGGACAGTCATTTCCTCCTGTTGAAAAGGAAAAGGTTTCTATGTGTATTTTTGTCACTTCTTGGGACTTGCAGCCAGTGCCCACAGGGCCATGGGACTTGGGCATGGTTGGGGAGAACAGCGCTAAAAAGAGACAGGGATGCCCGAGGCCGGGCTGGTGGTGAAGGACACGGGTCTCAGGCGTCCCCTGGTCGCGACGAAGAAAAAGGCGGGCACCACACACTCCTGCCGTGACTCGGATTCGAACCGAGGTTGCTGCGGCCACAACGCAGAGTACTAACCACTATACGATCACGGCGCGCCACCGCGGGCCACCCGCTCCCGGCCCGGCCTTCCTCCTTTGTCAGCATCGCCTACCTGTGTCGTCGGGAGACACCTGCGCTGGGCCGTCCGTCCTTTTTTTTTTTGAATTGCTCACCCCGATGACTGCTCCGCCCTCCCCGCTCGGATACTGTGCTCTTGGCGAGCAAACCGAAGGGGAGGAACATTAAGTTCCGCCACGTGGACGTGGCCGACCCTGGCGGCCCCTCGCCGGCGGCGGGAACGCTCGCGAACGCACCACTCCCACGTCCCCGCCCACGCGGGTCTCTGCCCGAGTTTTACGACGCGTGGTCCTCTGCGCTCTGGCCGCAGGCTGGAGACGTGCTGCCTCGGAGAGACGCATCCTGGGGCCCCTTTGTGCCCCAACCGGCCAGAATCTCCGGGGCCCGGCGCGCAGTCCGGGTCCGGGGTCCCCGGAGCGCGCGGCTGGGTGCCGCCCGGTGCACCTGCCGGAGGTCGGGAGGGCCCGGCCGGCCTGGGCCCGCACCCCGCGCTGCCCGCAGGGGCTCCGGCCTCGTTCCGGCCTCTTCCTCCTGCCTCCCCGGCTGCCAGGACCGGGACCCGACTGCGCGCTGCCGGCGTGGACCGGAAGCCCCTCGGGACGGCCCTGCCCCCTGGCGGGCTGCCCTGCCCTCTGCCTGCTCTTCACCCGGTTGGATCCAGTAGCTGCAGTTCGTCCGGGAAGCTTTCCTGACCTCCCCTCTCCTCGCGACACATTCCTCCCAGTGCAGGTTATCCGTGGCGCACGGGGATGCTCCAAGAGACTCTTGCAAACCTCATGAAGAGTACTACACCCGGGGACTTACAGTAAGGCCATGGCTTCTTCTAATGACAACGATTCTTTATGTAAAAGTAGCCTCTGACACCTACTGAGCCATCATAGTCACTGAATGCGTGACGTTGGAACACAAAGTAGATATGTGTGCACAGATATTCCCCAGGTGTTCTATGATCTACTGAATCATACAACTGGGTACTCACAGTAGTATCTTATTTGAAAGTGAAATTCTATAGATAAGACCAGAACTGAGATGGTCTGGGGTGCATGTGTGATGCAGTCTGGACTCCTTTGGTATCTGTTCCTACTGCCTGGCTACGTCTCCTTCAACCTCCTTCAATAAGGTCATGGTGAACTCCTTAAGACCAGTTAACAGAGGATTGGCAGTCATGGCCCATTTCGATTGGCTTTGCAGAGCATTCTAGCACCAGTAGAACTGGATGGCTGTGCATTGTAAGTTACAACTCAGCCCCCAAGGGTAAAGGAAATCCTGTCAGCGCAGCACTGGGTGTGCATCC